TTAATAATTATATAAATAATATATAATCATATAAATTTAAATAACAAATATTATAATATTATGTTATTATATAATATAATTAATATTGAAATACTATCAAGTATAATAATATGATGCTATTTAATTAATATAATACTTATTATATTGTAAGAATTTAATTTCACACAAATATAAAATGATTAAAGTTTAGTTGGAATTTAGCATCAAAATTTTTGCTAAATATTATCCCTTGAAATTTCAAGTAATGAAATCTCTGGCCTCAATGTTTCATAAAAATGTTCTAATACTATAATTTTTTATTTAGATAATATGAAATTTAAAATAAAATTTAAAAAATTGAAATCACAATTTAAAGGATGATTTGGCTCCTTAAATTTTAGAAATAGTATTTTAGATGGACACATATCAGTGTTGTATTGGAGGCGTATCTATGTATCGGTGTATCGGATACAACACGCCTTCATAATTAGGTGTATCGGTGCAATATAGTATCAAAGGCATGATCAGTTTTTGCAAAAGGAATAATGCTAGATCTTTCGAGAAAAGGGGTGCTTTTTGGTTGAATCTCTTGACCTACTTTCTAGTAGCTCAAGGAGAAACAAAATGGAACTACTAACATATTTACTTTGCTATATGGCATTTTTTAGATACTAGATATTTGTACATAATTATATTCTAGAAATAATTTTCCACTTGAGGCCTTGAGTTTGCCTCTATCTCTATGCTTTTGCTGAATTATTTTTAAGCTGAAGAACATATGTACTGATTCTGAATTTTTAGATAAATTTTTAGTTTATAAACTTGAATGCCTAGTTATGGTTTTACCTTGCAGCTAATAGGCACTCCTGATGAAGCTGATTTGGGATATGTTAATGAAAATGCAAGAAGATACATTCAACAACTTCCTCGTCACATTCGGCAGTCATTTCCTGAGAAGTTTCCACATGTTCATCCCTTAGCTATTGATCTTGTTGAAAAGATGTTGACGTTTGATCCTAGAAAAAGAATTACTGGTGAGTTTATTCTCTGTTTTAAGGTTTTTCTCGGTTTTGACACCTCTGCTAGAAACTGAAATTAATGAATACTTATCCTTACAACATCATCAAGTCTTTATCCCACCATATGGGGTTGGCTATATGAATTTTTTTTCTCCATTGTGTCATATTAAGAGTAAAATTCTCATTTAGATCTATTAAAAAAAGTCATTTCTAATACTTTCTAATCAAATGGTCAACCTTGCAGCATATTTCCCTGTATTTAAGGTAGTTAAATAAGGAAATAGTCTTGCAGCATATTTCCCTTTTTACCTTCTATAAAAATTTTAGAAACAAGTGAATAAAGAACGGTTATTTGTCTGGAATTTCATAAAATGCAAATATTTATGCTATGAGAACCATACTTATGACCAGAGATCACATGCAGGCATGTTTGAATCCGCCTGCAAAAGTTTGATATTGCTGTAGCGTTCAGAACCTAAAAACACTAATAAGCAAACCCCCATGACTTATCTTCAGATGTCAACGGTCTTTCTTAAATCTAGGTACTTGACAGCACTGAATGGAACGCCAAGATTTTTGGTATTTTCTGATTAATACGGTTATTAGGATAAGGTTTTGGTTGTCTTAGTCAAAATTTTCATCGGATGCCCACGGCCAGTAAGGGTAAACCATTTGACATATTGCCTGACTTGCCGAAGAAAAGGCTTTGCAAATAGTTTATTACTTATTTTTTATTTTTGGATTGAAACTTATTTATGTATGTTGGTGGTCATTTGTTGGCAATAGAAAATTTCTCTATAAATTATAGTTATTTTTTTTCTTTATGGCGAAATTTCATTTTAGCGTTGCACAAAGTTGATCACTGATTAGTCAGAAAAAAAAGGTAATTGTAAGAATCAGGAATATATGAAGTGTAATTTGAGTAGTAATAGACCTAGTGAGGGGATTGTGACTTTAGGCGAATCAAGTCATTAATAAGAGTATATGTTTTTGATATCTTGAATTTATTGTTCAGAGTGATGGTGAAATTGATGGAGATAATATCAGCAGAATTCAATTTGGATGGTTGAAGTGGAGGTATGCACCGGGCTTATTGTGTGATAGAAAAGTTCCCCTCAAACTTAAGGGAAAATTCTATAAGATGGTGGTGGGACTTGCAATGCTTTATGGTGCCGAATGTTGGCCATTAAAAGAGAAGCATAGTTAAGTGTTGCAGAGATGAGCATGCTCATGTGGATGAGTGGCTTTACCCTTAGAAATAGGATACAAAATGAGCACATACGTGAAAAGGTTGGAGTAGTTCCAGTGGAAGATAAGATTAGAGAGAGTCGCCTTAGATGGTTTGTTCACATAAAACGGTATCCTTCTGATGACCAGGTTAGGAAAGTAGAGGTATTAGATTTGATTTATGTTAAGAAAGATAGAGGTAGACCTAAAAAGAATTGGTTTGAAAATATTAGAAATGATGACACCGTCCCAGCGGGTCGATCTTGGAGCATGCCACCAACAGGAGCAAGAGACAACTCTCTTGCTCAGATTCTGCCCCCTGGCCGAAGATCACTTCCTCAAGGCCTGGGGTGATACCACCACCTGTAATATTACAGGATATAGAGCAACTCTAAAACTGAGTCAAAGAATTCTAAATCCCAAATCATCCGTCCACAACCTTTATTCATCAATACATTTATAGGTACAGCTGGAAAAAACAATAAAAGAAGAGACAAGAAAAATCTACATAAAAGGCTATACAAAACTATCATAACAAAGGAACACACAGACAACTAACGAAAGACACTCCGGTGTCGTTCTCCCTAGGTAGGAGAGACGTCGAGGTCATAATGAGGCGTCAAATCTGCAACATTGAAGGTAGCCGATATATTGTAGTCACCATGAAGGTCGATTTGATAAGCATTATTATTAATTTTTTTGATAATGCGAAAAGGGCCATCAGCTTTGGGCTTTAGTTTAGAAAAAGCTCCACGAGCCAAGCGCTCTTTCCATAACCGAATCCAGACAAGATCTCCTTCCTTAAACTCAACTTGTCATCGTGATTTATTGGCATGCCTTTGACACTTATTATTGTGTTTTGCTATTGCCTCTTGGATCTGCTTATGTAATCGTTGGATCTCCATGCTGCGTTGCTCACTTCACTGCTAAAAACAACATTCTGCACAACTGGCATCAAATCAAGAATAATAGGATTGTATCCATATGCAACTTCGAAGGGACTTCGTTTGGTGTCTTGATTAGCTGATCGGTTAAATGCAAACTCAATTTAGACTAATATGAGATCCCATTGCCTGATGTTCTTCCCTACAAAACAATGCAAAAGATTACCTAAACTACGGTTAACAGTCTCCATTTGCCCGTCAGTTTGGGGGTGTGTTGCAGAGCTATATTGGAGCCGGGTGCCTAATTTTCCCCCAAGGGTTTTCCAAAAATTGCTTAAGAATTTAACATCTCTATCAGATGTAATAGTTTTTGGTATACCGTGGAGGCGAACTATTTCCTTAAAGAATAAGTCAGCAATGTGTGTAGCGTTCAACGTCTTATTGCAAGTGACAAAATGAACCATTTTGGAAAAACGATCTACTACCACCATAATGGAATCTTTGTTTCTTTGGGAGCGAGGCAAGCCAACGACGAAGTCTAAACTAATATCAACCCAAGGTGAGCTGGGTACTAGAAGTGGTGAATAAATGCTGGCATTGGTGCTTGAAGTCTTAGCCCGTTTACAAGTAGTGCAGCTTTGGACATATCTTCCTACATTTTTATGAGTGAAAGCTAGAAGAAGCTTTCTAATAGCATCCTCACTAATAGCAGACTCACTGTTTTCTCTTCCAAAGTGCCCGATCGGGACTCATGCATGGCTTTTGGATATGAGAGCTAGTCTGAGAGGGCAATCGGGTATGCAGAGCCCTTGATTAAAAAAGATATCCCTCTTTTATGTGAAAAAATTTGAACTGTCCATTTTGACATAGATGCCATGTATCACAAAAATCTGCATCATTAGGATAGAGTTCTTTGAGCATTTCAAATACAACAATTTTAGTTTGTAGTGTCTACAGGAGAAGGTATCGTCGACTAAGGGCGTTGGCGACCTGATTGGTATGGCCAGCTTTGTGTTTTAGGACGTAATGGAATGCAGATAAGAATTCAGACAAATTTGCGTGCCTCGCCTTCAGTTTCTTCTGATGATTGAGGAAGCGAAGAGCTTCATGATCAGAAAAAAGCACAAATTCATTGGCCAACAAATAGTGATTCCAATGCTGTATAGCCCGAACTATGGCGTAGAACTCTTTGTCGTAGGTGGAATATTTTCGCCGAGCATCACTCAACTTTTCACTGAAGTAAGCAACCGGATGTCCACCTTGTGTAAGCACTGCCCCAATGCCCACATTCGATGCATCACACTCAATCTGAAAGGCTTGATTGAAATCCGGTAGCACCAGGGTTGGAGCAGACGATAGTTGCTGACTTGTTGTTTTAGAGATTCGAAACTGGCTTGTGCTTTTTTGTTCCATTCAAACCGATCAGCTCTTAAAATTTTTGTCATATGGGCAGCAATTGAGCTAAAATTTTGGATAAATCTTCTGTAGAATGAAGCCAGCCCATGGAATTTTCGAATATCTGTAAAAGATTGTGGAACTGGCCAGCTGCGAACTGTGTCAATTTTGGTTATATCCACATTTAATCCTTCGGCTGAAAGCTTGTAGCCTCGGAAGGAGATATGTGCAACATCAAATTGGCATTTCTCCACATTAACAAAGAGTTTCTATTCTCGGAAGAGGTCAAGGATATGTTGAATATGTTGGCAGTGTTCCTGGATATCACGACTGTAAATGAGAACATCATCAAAATAAGCTATCACAAATTTATAAAGGGTTGTAAAATATGGTTCATTAGTCGCATAAAAGTGCTCTGCGCATTGCTCAGGCTGAATGGCATGACCATCCATTCATACAGTCCTTCATGCGTCTTGAAGGCAGTTTTCCATTCGTCTCCCGGCCGCATGCGTATTTGATGGTATCCACTGCGCAAGTCCAGCTTGGAAAGATGGTCGTGCCCTGCTACTAGTCGATGATATCGTCAATACGAGAAATAGGAAACTTTTATTTTATTGTAATTTTATTGACAGCCCTGCTGTCAATGCATATTCTATAGGTCCCATCCCTATTTGGAACCAACAAGGCGGGAACGACACAGGGACTGACGGTATGCCGCACAAATTCTTTGTTTAGGAGTTCCTCAACTTTTCGTTTGAGTTCGGCTTTCTCATTTGGTCGAAGTCTGTAAGCGGGGGTGATTAGGAATGATGTGTCCGGGCACAAACTCAATGGCATGCTGGATTTGACGTTCAGGAGGTTAGTCTGGAAGGAAGAATGTTAGTGAGGATGTCCAGGAATTTATCCAAGATATCTTGTACAGCAGCCGGATAACTACAATTAGCTTCATTGGCAAGAATTATCACCAACAAGAGCCCAGTCTTAGCTTTCCCTGAGAGCCTCCAAAAATAGTGATTGTGTTAATAATTGTTGGTTCTATTTGGTTGATGAATGATCTTGAAGGGGAACCAATACGATCTGCTTGTTTTGATGTTTGAAAGAGTAGGTGTTCGCTTCTCCATCGTGAATAGTCTTCTTGTCGAATTGCTTGGGTCAGCCCAATAGGAGATGGCAAGCGTCCATAGGTAATACATCACACCACACCTGTTCTGCAAAGGTTATGATAGAAAAGTTAACAAGACAATGCTTCGTTACCTGGACTTCATTCTCCTTTTGAATCTAGGATAATGCATACGGTTTGGGATGGTCCATGGTGGGCAGTTCATTTGACAAACTTTTCACTCGACGGTACATCGAGTCTGAAAAATGCCGTGGCGTTTGCATGAAGCTTCCTTCTGTGAACTTAGCAACCTTCGGAGAACGAGTAGGTTCCCTTCATCAGCTGAAATTATTGTAGTTTCGGTCGGTGGCGATTGTTGGTTGCTCTCCAATTCATGTTCACCTGCCATTTCTTGTTTGGAATCAAGCTCCTCCACGAGGGTGATGACTCTACGATTCGGACATCCCGAGGAAATATGTCCAAAGCCTTGACATTTGAAGCACTTTCTTGGGGGCAATCCACTAGTTCCTGATACTTTGTGCACACCATTGGAAGCCCGATTGATTTTCTTGTTCAAAGGTGCCACTCCTACAGATTTCCCAACAGGTTTCTTGAAGTGGTTCCAATCCACCTCATCTTCTTGGATGGACGCCTTACTTTGACTCCACTTGTTTGTGTGTTGTTGCTTTTCCACTTTAAGGGTTAAATTGAAGACATCCTGTAATGTCAAATACGGTTGCAATTGGACAATATTGACGATCGACATATGCAATCCCTCCAAGAACCTGGCAATGGTATTCTCCTCGGGTTCAGACAAATCGCACTGGAGAGACAATTGTTCGAATTCAGCGATATATTCTTCAACTGTGAGTTGATTTTGTTGTAGACGATGGAGCTTTAAGAACAAATCTTTACGATATCTTTTCGGTAGGTACTTACGTTGAAGTTCTTTCTTCATCTTGGCTCATGTCGTGATTATACTTCGCCCTTCCTGGTTTCTATTTCGTTTTTAATTTTCCCATTATAGGGAGGCGCTTTTCTTCAATTTAATGGCGACGAGCTTGACAACTCGATCTGGTGGAATTTCTTTAAAATCAATTACTCTTTCTACGGTATTGCATCCAGTTCACAAACTCGCCTGGGTCCAGTCTACCATCAAACTCTGGCAAGTCTATCTTCACTCCATCATCCCGCAGGTGTCTTGTGCGACCAGGCACGGTCCGTCTTTCATCATCTTCGCTATGAAGATCTTGATGGAACGGGTTGACCTCTTCTTCATCTTCTAGGATATCTGCTGATTCTCAATGTTCAAATCTTGCTAATCGTTGTTGAAGCTGCTGGATTTCCCTTTGCAAGTCTTCAATGATCACGTCTCTTATCGGGCGTTGCCGATTTCTACGAGGCGGTATCTTTGCCGGCTCTGATACCAAATATGACATCGTCCCAGCGTCTCGATCTTGGAGCACGCCACCAACAGGAACAAGAAACAACTCTCTTGCTCGGATTGTGCCCCTGGCCGAAGATCACTTCCTCAAGAGCTGGGGTGATACCACCACCTGTAATATTACAGTATATAGAGCAACTCTAAAACATAGTCAAAAAATTCTAAATCCCAAATCATCCGTCCGCAGCCTTTATTCTTTAATACATTTATAGGTACAACTGGAAAAACAATAAAAGAAGAGATAAAAGAAAAAGCCACATAAAAGGCTATACAAAACTATCATAACAAAGGAACACATACATACAACTAACGAAAGACACTCCGGTGTCAAATGATATTTTTATATTAGATTTAAACGAGAATTTGACTTTTAACCGGACACAATTGAGAACAAAGATTCATGTAGCCGACCCTACATACTGGGACAAAGGCTTGATGTCGTTTTTGTTGTAAAAATCAGGAAATTTGAACTAGAATATGTGAACTACATCCGAACTATGCTCATGTTTTTTCATATCGCTGTACACTGAAAATAAACTGATTCCCTGCAAGTAATCGTTACCTGTTTATTTGAAGGGTCCCCTATTCCTTCTAACTTATTATCAGAGTTATTTATTATTTATCTTTAATTTACAAAATTATGAAATAAACTCATCTTTCCATGCAGTGGAAGGGGCCCTTGACCACCCATACCTTGCATCATTGCATGACATCAGTGATGAGCCCATCTGCATAGCTCCCTTCAGCTTCGACTTTGAGCAGCATGCACTATCCGAAGAGCAGATGAAAGAGCTTATATACCGTGAGGCCCTTGCCTTCAATTCAGAGTACCAGCACTTCTAGTTTTTTTTTTATTATTCTTCAAATTTGCTCTATTAATTGATCTGTTTTTTCTCTCTCACATATGTGTAGTATTCATCGGTGCTACTCACTCGATTTGATTACTCGCTGTATATAAGTTTTATTGACTATAATATATGTAAGGCTGGTGTAGGTGATGTAGAATTTTGGAATTTGATCGAAATTGAAGACTTATTTCTTACTGTTTTTTTTAAGCATCTTTTTAGCAAAAAAATTTAATTCAAAAAATTTCTGCACTAAAAGATTGGTCGAGTTACATAACATGGTGGGCTTCTTAAGGTTAAGGATTTGTGAGTGTGTGCAATTATGGATTACGGAATTTCTATCCTGCTAATTGGGTTAGGGGTGTAAATTAGTCAAGCCGAGCTCGACTTACATTTAGTTTGAGCTTGAGCTTGATTAATTAATCGAGTTTGAGCTCCAGCTCGAGCTTTATTTTACGAGTTTGAGTTTGAGAGAATTTGAGAAAGTAGAAGAAAAATAATAAAAAAATGAGAGGGAATTTTAAAATATTTTTAAGAACTTTGCACTTAAAATTATAGAAGTTAATATATTTTATAAATGAACTTGCTCGTAAGTTAACGAGTCATCAGGTTTAGCTTAAATTTGACTCGTTAGCTAATCAAATTTGGCGCACGAGTTAGCTTGACTTATTTACACCTCTAATTAGTCTTATGGATGGATTGCCTTGCAATGGGTGGAAGGATTCGTTAGGTATGGGCTAGGGCAAGGAGATTTGGTGGGGAGTAAGCCAATGGAGTGAGAGCCTGCAGAATTTAGCTTTTTTTCCTCTCTCTCTCTCTCTTTATGTTTCTATATGTTGTAATGTGTTTTTCTTTTTATTTTCTTTCAACCCAGAATAAACTAAAATTCTTTTTTAGAAAATAGACATAATTATTTGTATTTTTGTTTGTTTTCTTTGAATATAATCTGAGCTTTTGTGCTTTTATATTGCTGTATATTTCATCATATATTGAATAAATTATAATTGACAAGCCCCAATTTAGGAGACTTGATCTAAATGAAGAGGTGGAGAATGGACTCAGTGAAATATCATGAATGCTATTAGGATAGAGATATATGGATTAAACTCGTGTTATCTAATATCTACCCAATTTCAGTAATTGGTCAACACCGATCAGAAGAGGCGGTACTCGATATTCATCACTTTATTACTTGTGTTCTAAGATATTCTTCGTATGTATATCCTAATCTTATCAAGTTTTTAGCGCAATCACAAAGGATTTCTACTCATAAATGAAACACACAAAAGACAAGAACAAAATTCAATTCTCTTTTCTTGAGCAATCATCTTAGAAACTTAACAGTTTACACTACAAATTTGTATGGATGACTCCTTTATAAAATCCACATATAAGACAGAAAGAAAGTTTTGTTTTCTTGACTTTATGCAATGAATAATATAATATTATCATACAACTGGAAATCAATAAAATACAGAGACCAAAAGATATGCATTTCCTAAATTTGAATGAGTTGATGTTCATCATGATAAACAAATAAGTTTGGCATTTTGTAAGAATATTTTAGGGCAATTAAAAAAAGGCCAAGATTGAGCAGCTCAAGCTGCCAAGGTTTGTCAAGTTTCCTTCCTAAGAAGGCCAATGTGGTTGCCTCTTTGCTTTTAATGATTGAAAGCTCTATGCTTTAAATTAGGTTGTTAGATAATGTTTACTTCTTTTGTGAAAGGAACCAATTTGTTTTTTATTTTATTTTATTTTATTTTGAGATAATGACCACTCTACTTATTTGCATGTAAAGTGAACACATGAGACTTGTTTCAAAGCAAAATGGAGGTTGAAAAATAGTCAATGAGTAATAGGTTGTGAGATATTCAAATTTCTTTTTTTCTTTTGTTTTGAATAAAAAAAGTTATGTGTTCAAATTCTTAAATATTTATGTACTAGCCACAACCACAACATACTTGTTAGGCTTACGGTTCTTATGGTGCTTATTTCTTACTAAAAGTGTAGAGTTTGATCGTAAAATAAGAGAAGTAAATGGATCAAGAAAGACTTTAAAATGAAAAATCCACAACAAAAAAATGACGGGTCATGCCTAATTGAAGCAAAACATCAACTAAATGTTTACATGTGTTATAAATAAGTGCCTTTCCTCACATTTGGAGAAAGTATCAATGCAAAGCATCTAAAAACAAATATATTATAAGTATCCATAATGATGCCATTATGAGAAGGCTGATGGCTGAGGTAGATAGAATTAGTTTTTTCCTTAAGATATAGGTAGTACTATGGTTAAAAGGATGGGGCTAGAGAAACCGATAAGTATCACCAGGAAGGTTCTCCTCCTAATAGCTAAAGTCACACAACCTTTAGTTGGGGATGGTCGAGAATATCCTCCGTGCAGAGGTGATGTTAAATGATAGAAAAGATAATCTTTATCTTGAAAAAATATGAGATGAAAAACAATTATAACATAGGGATTATAGACAACTACAAGTTATCAAGATAATCCCTCTCTTGGGAAGAGTGAGCTGATTGAAAGAATAATGAATTGAATAATACTAAAATCAAGATTTCCAAGCTACTTGCATGGTCTGTCAACATTGAGTAATTTCGTCAGTACTTTTGTTTTTTTTTTTTTAAGAGATGGACTATCTCAACTACTTTCATTATCTACTAACATCATATCACTCATAACTTATTTTCAACAACTCAAAGTCATGTTAATATGCCTTCACCTCTAGTTGGAGAACCGTCCAAAGAACTCTCAATTGCCACCCATCCAAACCCATGTCTATAATCTTAAGGTCATGTTGCCTCCATTATCTTTTCCAACTTTCTTATATTTCCACTAGAGATACTAGCAACATCATGCTTTCTCCTACTTTGTATTCATTTTTTTAAGATTTTGAAAAAAGTGTCTTTATAACTCACATCAACTACTACTGAATGCTATTTATATTTGTTAATGCATCGTGATTTTTTGCTTTTGAAACATTTCATTAGGAAAAAACTTGTTTCACACGCTCGCTTTATTGATTCTTTTCATTATATGTGTTAATCATCACTCGTAACTATGGTGATTAAAATATCTTTATGAAAAAACTACTTCTTGCATGAAATGAACAAGATAAGAATCATAAGCCTAAGAAGCATGTTTTGGCTAGTCATGAATGATTATATATATATTGGGCTAAAAGTTCAATGAACTCATATTTATTTTATTTTATTTTGGATCCAAGAAGGGTGAACCAAAATACTTTATAACATTCTCATATTTTCTATTGTCAAAAAAGTTATATTATTGAGAAGGTCTAGCACAGTTGCAAGCTCTTGACTAGCTCAAAATTATAGAGGCTTTTTTGAACAATTTCCAGCTCTTGACTAGCTCAAATTTTCAAAGCATAGTAATTTTACATGAAGTTTCTAAAAAAATAAGATCAACAAAGATCAAACTAGTTATACTTTAAATGGCACTTGCATTGTAATCCACCTTCTCCAATCATGTGAAAGAGTAGAAAATAATAATCTTCAATTTATAATAGTTGAACCATTTTAAATTGGTTTGTTTCCCTAATTTTTCTTTCTAGGTTTTTGCTTAAAAATTTATTTCTTTTATGTGTATCATGCTCAACTTATTAGTTTTTTTGGAATCTTTTTATAATTTTAAATTGTTAAAGATTTTATTATTATTATTACAAATATTCTATAGTGTAATATATTGATGCTATTTGTTTGTAACATTCCACCCAGTACTATTTAATTGATTATCAACAACACCTACTTGAATGGGGAATAAGCATAACCCCTATAACAATGCAGGCCGATCTAAATCCAACTATAGCTATTCAAGGAGCCTTCCATTTGTAAAGGTCATGCTTCCTTCACACTTGTTGATAAGAGGAATTCTTCTAGTTAGGATGTCAATGTGGTATTCAAGGGGGTGTGTATCCATATTAAGGAAGAATCTTAAGCCAAGATTATCTATCTTGTGTGTGAATCTCATAAGTTATGGCCAACACGCCAAAACATTGTTTGATCCTACCTTCCCCCTAATCTTCCAATATTGATAAAAGATTGCTTATTACATGAAGCTTATGAGCTAAAGCTTAACATCTATTTTCTTCACAAAATGATGAACCCACAACAATGTTAGATCCACCCGACCAACAACTCATTTACTTCTATGTTGAATCTAGTGTTATTTCTTATCAATGAAATCACTCACGATGCCACTCATAATGAACATTGATATCTAGTTTTGAAGGGTTTCAACATCAAAAATTTTAGTCTACCTTTATTAAACATAAAAGAGCCATTTCCCTTCATTATCACATTTATATGATATATAATTCAAATTGCTTACCATAAAACCATATGATGGCTTTGATGACCCTTATAAGGTTTTGGATTATTATAGTACCATTATGTACATCCAATGTGTCTATGTTTGATCCTCTACCTCTTCCTCATTATTAATAAGGGTTGGAAATTAAATTAAATCTTCTCTTATGAGATTTCTCATAGTCTTGATATGTAACAAACTAAATTTAATTTACCTAATTCTTGAATTTTGTTGGTTGTGCGCTGCGGTGCAGACTGGGCAATATCGTGACATTGAGCTCTCATGCAAGTTTTTTGAAAATGAACTAATGTTGCAGTGTTATGCTCTCCATCTGGTAGCATTGTGACACTGAGTCTGGAGCACCACGGCACCGGATCAAAAAATTTATTCTTTTAAATAAATATCTAAAATCATTAGATTAAAAATCGCTCCCCCACCCTCATTTCACTATCTTATCGAGGAACAAAAGAAAGGAGAAGGAGTTGATCGAGGGGAAGAGAGAGAAAATCTTCTGGGGCTCCTTTATCTATTATTTATGTTATAAAAATTATTCTAATCGATATAAGAGACCTCTACTCTTCTTCTGTTTTCAATGATTTTAAATTTAGTTCATTTTCTCCCTCCCAAAATTTGTAAAAATATAATATATCCTATTATAGAGAACTTTCACTAACAACTTTTGATAAGTAGTAGATATCATCATTCTAAATATTTTGGCTAATTTATATGAAAATTTAATTGGAGAATTTTGTATATATGTTTATTTATCTGAAATGGGTATAGAAGGACTAGGTACAAAATGATCATGATCAAATGTACTAAATCTGGATATGAGATATATGATATACATATGATTATTGTT